ATCCTCATTTATAAAACACACACGCACACACACACACACACGTCACTGACTTCAGAGAGAAAGGGAGAGGGAGAGAGACAGAAACATCAGTGATGAGAGAGAATCATCTATCGGCCTCCTCCTGCATGCCCCACAATGGGGATCGAGCCTGCAACCTGGGAATGTCCCCCAGGTTCCTCCGGTCAAGGGCATGTACCTGGGGTGCAGTCACATCCCCAGTAGGAGATGTGCAGGAGGCAGCTGATCGATGTTTCTCTCTCATCAATGTTTCTAACTCTCTATCTCTCTCCCTTCCTCTCTGTAAAAAAATCAATAAAAAATATATTTAAAAAAATATATTTTTTTAAAGTTAATCAAAATACTAAATCTGACACCCATCTAACATAAAGATATTCACCTTCCAGTTATACCTAATAAGGCATGCGTATATCTTTGTGATGCACATTAACTGGAATGTCACTTGCTCATTCGAAGCCTGCATTAATAATGCACAGCACGGCTTCTCTGCGCTGGCTAGGGCATTGGCCTACACTAGTGTATGTGTGTGTATGTGTGTGTGTGTTGGGGGTGGGGAGGATAGAAGGGAGGGTGTGCATGAGGCAACCAATCGATGATTCTCCCTTAGCATTGATGTTTCTATTTCTCTCTCCCTTTCCTTTCCTCTCTGAAATCAATTTTAAAAATATTTTTTTAAAAAACAAAATATTTTGCCAAAACCGGTTTGGCTCAGTGGATAGAGCGTCGGCTTGCGGAAATGTCCCAGGTTCCATTCCGGTCAAGGGCATGTACCTGTGTTGCAGTCACATCCCCAGTAGGAGATGTGCAGGAGGCAGCTGATCGATGTTTCTCTCTCATCAATGTTTCTAACTCTCTATCTCTCTCCCTTCCTCTCTGTAAAAAAATCAATAAAAAATATATTTAAAAAAATATATTTTTTTAAAGTTAATCAAAATACTAAATCTGACACCCATCTAACATAAAGATATTCACCTTCCAGTTATACCTAATAAGGCATGCGTATATCTTTGTGATGCACATTAACTGGAATGTCACTTGCTCATTCGAAGCCTGCATTAATAATGCACAGCACGGCTTCTCTGCGCTGGCTAGGGCATTGGCCTACAGGTAAAGGAGACTCAGAACTGGCCCTCAGGGAACTTACTTACAGTCCAGTGATCCAGATTTCAGTCAACCCAATTTATTGACCTTCACCATAAAGTCATTTTGCAGAGTTTGGTACAGTACTGACTAAGGCTGATTGAGATTTGCACTCCCCTGAAAAATTTAGCCTACGTGGCCCCCATATGTGCAAAACTGGTCATGAGCCCCCATCACAGAGGATTAAGCCAAAGCCAGTCTCAGGTAAGGTCAGGCAGGTTGGCTCAGTCCCTGTGAACCCGGGTAACAGGGCAAAAGCAAAAGCATGGGGCTGCGCCTTAGGTTCTGACCTGGAGGTGTGCAGGGCAACATCAGGGGGAAAGCCAAGTCCTCAGCCAACGGCTGCCACAGCTGCTGACACACTACCCTGCCTTTCTGTCTCCTGGCAGCTCAGGCCTCCATCCTTTTCTGATTCCATCCTTTTCTGGACCCATCCTTTTTTTCACCAGCTTTCCACATAACCAGGCCATGTTTTACAGACCTCACTGGTCCCTGACCAGCTCCCTTCATTGAGGCCCAGAGGGTATCTAAATGCCCAGAGAATGGGCACAGGGCCCCAACTTTGTCTCCATCGATGCTGTTGTCCTCAAGAGCTGGGTGTACTGTGCTCACCAGCCTTCCCCAAACCACCGCATTCATTGGCAAAGTGGGATTTGTCTGGTCTATGGTTTCGTAAGCACACCAGTACTAACTACAACAAGTTTCTGCTAATGTTCCATGTTCCATCAGCCCACTTTTACTAACTTGGTATTATAAGTTTGGTGGCCGTGCCTCACGGCTTTTCAGATGTTCTGATTTTAAATGGCCTACCTTCCTGTCTTCGTTGAATATGCCAGCACTTGTCAAACTATGTGTCCTACTTTTTGGTTTAAAAAAAGGGGGGGGGGGTCTCTATGCTCAGAGGAGTCACAAGGTACATGGAAATACTGTAGTCTACTCATGTTGTATCTTGTGAGCAAATGAGTTTTCCTGTCGAGACCAATCTGGTGTACCCAGTCCCCATATTCTTTTCAGGTAGCATGGATGCAAATGTCATGCGGTTACCAAAACAACCTCAAACAAATCAGTGAGAGGCACCACCTGTGCAACTCATCTACCCACAGAGCTTCTCCAGTGAACGGGAGACATAAATTTCATTAGTCCTTACGACTTAGGCTGCTTTAGTGACGTTCAACATAAAGGCCACTTTGACATCCAACTTCTCTGGCCTTTGGTTCTGTGTTTTGTTGTGTCGTTTTTTCAGGGAGAAAGAAGAGGAGAGATAGATTCATGAGGCAGTGGCAGAACATTCTAGAACTTTCTAATCATCTCCTCCTGACCGTCTTCCATCTTCCGTTCCCCACTCAGCATCTCTTTCATGGCCCTGAGCGCTTGGACATCCTGACATGTCTCCATTCACCCCTCCAAGCACCTCAGCGCCTGCAGTGACTCGCTGTCATGCTCTCTCAGCAGAAATGCCCCCAACCTGCAATGAGCCTGCCATGTGCATCACATAACAGCAATGGCACCCCCCACCAAGCTGTGAGGGTGCCCACTTGGCACAGACAAGGCACATGACAGCGGAACCCTTCATTTTGGTGCCGTGTTTTCAGTAGCCTCTGTTGCCAAAGAACTCAGCAAAAACAGAACTTTGGAACACCACATTGAAGAAGAGACCCGTCAAACCATGTGCGAGGCAGCACACCTGGAGGTGCAGGCTACATCGTGTACCGCTTGGCAGGGCTGCAGGGCCATTCTGTCCCGGCTTCTTAGACCAGGATTAGGTGAGGAGCCAGGGATCAGCACGTGGGTGAACTAATCAAGTGACAGGCTGGGTGCAGGCTGGGTGCAGGCTGGGCGGAGATGGTTACTTTCCATTGAATCAGAACTCTGGTGTGCAGATGTCCGAAGCTGCTGGTGTGGAGAGAACCCTTTGGCACGGGGAGTTTGCAGGCTGTGAACTGCTGCAGAAAAACCGTAAAAACAGGGACTTTTGAGGAAACCAAGGGAGAAGATGTGTTTTTATAATAAAACAACTTTACTGGCCTTTCTAGTTCTATTACTGTGTGTTCTGGAAACACAGTAGAAGCCAGCGAGAAGGCCTGGGTGAGGAGATGGGAGACCGCGGGCTGTTTGTGATTTGCACTGTGGCCTTGGACATGGTTTGTGTCCTCTCCAAAAATCTCAATTTACCCGTCCATAGAAATGGGACCAATAAAGCTCTCACAGGACTTTGTGAATAAAACACCACACCGGCACAAGTCGCCATTCATGGGACTAAGACGGAGGCTTCTCCAAGCCCCTGTTTTCCTCTTTTTAAATGGGGATAATAATGCCAACCCTCCCCATCTCTCGGGATGCTTCGGAGGATCGAATGATAGAATGTGTGTGAGGGAGACAGGGAAACCATGGAGTTCTAAGTGAGCAGCGGGGCTCACAAATACTCCAGGCCTTTAAGGAATCAGTTGCCAGCCCTGAGGCCAGGGTTGGTCTAAGACTCACTTTGCCAGACCAGAGCCTTCTCTCCAGGGCATCCCTCCCCCCTTCCCCTCTCCCCCACCTCACCTTCCTCTTCGCCTGCTCCTTCCTTTGTCTTGGATGCTCTGAGTTGCCTTTGCTCTTCTCTCTGCATCTGTCAGGCAACTGCTGCGTCTCACTCCATTTAAGATCCCAGTGAAACCGTTTCTAGATATAGTCTGTCATAAAATGTGAGTTCCTTTGGGAGGAAAGGGGCAGCCACTGTGTGGGTTCATATCCACCACCATTGCACTGGTGGCCCCCCAGAACCAGAGGGCCTACATATACTTTCCAGCATAAATGGGAGTCTAGCCCAAGGTTACAGTGTCTTTTACCAACAACCTGTTTCTACTTACTGCTTTCCCCTAGGCCTTTGGAGTGGGGAAGGAGCAACATTGTATTGTTCAAATCAGAGCTAGTGGATGGGTGGATGGGTGGATGGATGGATGAATGGGTGGATAGATTGGGGTGGCGGGGGAGGCTTGAGTCCACTCAGAAGTTTAAAATTTCTCATTCTTATATCCACACCCCAGTTATCCTCTGGCAACTCTGAAATTTGGTTAGTTGATGCATTCTGAGGAAGCAGTGGAAAACCTTGTTAAATACGGGGTTTAAACATGCCTTTTCATTTTATTTTGCTAGATGAAAATACTTTGTTCACTGTCACCTGAAGCGAGCACAGACTCCTGTCCTGGGAGGGACAAAGGCTGACCCTGACAACCTTAAACTCAGAGGGGAAAGGGAAGCCTTTCCCGGGACCAGGTCAGAAACAGCTGTCCCTCCCTTAGCGTCCTGCATGGCCGGCGGCACACCGAGCAGGGAACTTGGAAGTCCCTTTCCCATGTGTTGTTGTTGTTCATTTATTTTAGAGAGAGGAAGAGGGGGTGGGAGGGAGAGAGAAGAAACACATCAATTTATTGTTCCACGTATTTATGCATCCACTGGTTGATTCTTGTCTGTGCCCTGGCCCCGGGGTAAGCCTGCAACCTTGGCGTCTGGAGAGGACGCTCTAGCCACCTGAACTACCCGGCCAGGGACCCCTGGCTACATCTTGAAAACCCCATTCCACCCGCCCCTTTTCCCTCCCGTGGGGTTTACCAGCTAACAAATTCCAATGCAGTCACTCCAGATGTGCACCGAGGCCTTGGCGTTGGCAACATCTCGTAAGTCAATCTCGACGTGAAAAAGATGCTTCAAGGGAGCACCCAGTCAGTTCCTTCTCATAACCGCAGCTTGTCATGTGACACCTGCCCCTCCCCCGCCCCCCTTCTCTCGGAAAACCACCCACCCCACCAATAAACTGGGTTGACCCGTGTCCTTTCTCTGCCAAACATCTGCCATGTCTTCCGAGGTGGTAATCTTTGGCTTTTGTTATTTAAGGGCTGTTGGGTCCTGGATGGTTACCCCATGGCTTTGGGGCTTCCCTAAACAGTTAACAAAAACACGGCGCACGCGGCGGCCGTTTCGCTTTCTGTGCTTGTTGTTCTTGGCACGGGGTCAGTTCTATGAACTTCTGGTGTCCAACTGGTAGGACCTGAAACTCTGTGTTTAACAAGTGCCTGTAGTCAAAACAGTTGGCGTGTGCGAGCGGGGATAGCCGGTGCCGACTGCGGCCGGTCCACCCCGCGGTCCTGGGCGTGCAGAGCCCCGAGTCGCGGCGCTCCGAGCCGGGGCTGGGCTTCTGTGGTGGTTACATTGTGAGGTTTTTTTTTTCTTTCTTCTTGTTTTTTTTTTTTTTCTTTTTCGTGACGGCACCCGTGCTCATGTGGATCGCTTCAGGTTCCAAAAGTACAACATGTTTACAGCCGTCGTAGAATCAGATTAAGTTGGCAGCCTGAGTCTCCGTAAGTGGTTTTAGTTTACATTTCTTCTTCTAACAGGATGTTCTGCATAATTGTGCTGATCCTGGGTTATTTATAGACTTTTTCGGAAGGGGGGGGGGGGGACAAAACAAAACGGGATGCGTGCGTTTTCTGCTCTAGCTGGGGAAAGTGAAATCCGTGTCTGCGGCCGGACAAGCGGCCGTGCCCGTGCAGCGGGTCTCCGAGCTCCTGGAGGCACTTCTCCGCGGGGTCATCGCTGACACGCCCGGGCGGAGGCGGCGGCCGCCGTGGCGGACACCCTGAGAGTTCGTTGTCGTCGGACGTGTTGTTGTTTTGTGTTGTTTTCCTTCGGTCGGTCACAAACGGGGTAAAATGAAAGCGAGGATGCCATTTCCCCTGCGGTGGACGCCGTGATTGGCTGTCGTTTCAAACGTCCCGGTGGGGTTGCGATGGTTGTTTTGGCCAAACCCGCGGGAGCCGTGTTCGCGGGGGTCGTCCCCCTGCCCGCCCCGCGGCCGGTTGGCGGGACTCAGCCTGGGGGGAGGGGCAGAGGGAGGCTTGAGAGCCGCAGGAAGTGAGGGGGTGTTCCAGTTTGTCCTCACCTAAATGGCAGTGATCCTCAGGTGTTTGTAATGTTATTTTTTTTTTTTTTTAATAATCAACTGCAAATCGGTATCCCGGCTAATGCATCCTGTTTGATGTTCTGGCCTGGCCTAGGGTCTCCGGGTGCCCGGTGAGCGTTTGAATGAGAACTAAAGCGGGCACGTTTGAAATCACTAAGCCAGAATTAGCGCTCTGTGAAAGGGTTTCCCATAATATTTACTAGAACAGTTGGCTAAAAATTGCTCCGCTCTGCCCACTGAGTGACTGTGTAATTAAATCAGCCCTTGACAGCTACCTTGCGCACCTCCCATCTCTGTGTCGGCAGCTCTTGGAATTTGCATGGGTAAGTGGCACGTTCATCAGCGTAATGAGTGTGGAGTCCCCGTCTAATGGTCCAGGAGAACGCCGTAAATGAGACACTTCATTGTGCCTGGGGCTAAATGTTTTAAACCAAACACGTGGAAATGGGGGTAGAAGGCGCTAAGCATACGTACTCTGGGCGGCTTGAGAGGCCTTCTAAGTGGGCAGTTTGCCCTGATCCAGGTCTTGGGTCCCTCGCAGACAGGTTCAAACCTCCCCTCGCCCCCAGCATCACCGGCTGGCACACACAAATGAGAATGGAGAGTTGAAACGGAAATTTCCAAGGTAGTAAATGTGACCATTAGGCCGAGGCTTGGCGGAGTTATAACTGCTGAGTGCTGCCAAGAGCAGATTTCTTTTTCTCCGTGTTTCTCTCATCTATGAAAGCAGTGGGGCTTGGGGGATTTTACTGGGGGGAACTGGCGGGGGGGTGTTTGTTTTTCCGGTCTCCTCTAACCTTGCTTACACAGAATAATGATCAGGCTGCCGTGCTTTCGATAGCATGCACGCTGCTTTCTCCTGCTGGCCTCACTGAGCTGGGGCAGGACAAGGCCAGCCCTTTGGTCCTGGGAGGAAAGGCTGGGCTTGGTTTGCGTAGTGGAGCTGGGGAGCTTGGACTCAGGACCACATTATCCATCAGATCTTCGCTGCTCATGACCCCATCCAAACTGGGTGAACTGGCTGCACTGCAGATATTTCCTGCTCTTTGTTCTAATTTGATTCAAATCTGCCCCGTGGATGGGACCCCTATTACACTTCCCCTTTCCTCCTCCAGGGGATCAGGTTGGGATAGAATTTGAGACAGGCCCCCTCCCCCCTTTTGAAGGCCTCAGGTTTGAGGTGTGTGTTGGTTTGTGTGTATCTTGGCCAGCAGTGATTATGGGGGCTCTCATCCCACTGTGTAAATAACCTCAAAGTGAATGAAGAGATGTGAAGGGACCCTTTAGGCCTTTATGTGAGGTTGGAGAGGGATGGCTGTGAATACTGAAAGGTTTCCCAGTCATCCTGCCCTGGGGCTTTTGCATTTGAATTGGCCAAACCCGCCCACCCTGCTATCCTTGGGAAAGTAAAGGCGATGCCATTTGCCAGCCTGTCAGTTCTGTCTAGTAGAGCATGTCACTCCTCTCAGCCCCTCCACACATCAGCCTGACAATACCTTTCAAACACCCTCCTTTCTTGCTTTGATTTCCCTCCTACCCCAGGTCCCCCCACAAGCACCACCACCCCCAGCCCGGAGAGAGCTTAATGACATATCTATTGTTAGATTGATCCCTGAGTCCCGCCTACTCGTGTGTCTGGACCCCTTAGCAGCAGTGAGCATTTGTGGGTCCCTCTCCTCTCGTGGCCCCCAGGGAAGTGGTTCTGTCTGCACCATACTCACTGGGAAACCCAGTGTCTATCAGGTCTGAGAGTCTGAGGGAGGACCAATGAATGCATCCAGGTAGAACCTGGAATTTGGGTGCATTCCTGGTGAAAAGCAGCATTGGGCCAGTTGGTCTGATTCAGTTTGTCAAACCTGTGAATGTGCTGGTGGCTACCTCACTGCCAATTAGCCCACTCACCCCATGATCTTATCTTTTTCTGGAAGGATAACAATGACAGATTCATCACAACCCACAAAGGTAAGCGGCCAAAAAAGAAAGTAGGCTGTTAAAAGTTGGTTTCCCCCAGGCTGTAGCTTACCTCCAGCTGTTTCAGACCAACTGCTAGATACCTGAGATGACCTCAGCCTCAGGCCTCCAGGGTGGACAGGATTTGCCAGATGTCAAGAATCAGGAGACTGCCCCCCACCTTGACCTTGCTACAATAGCCATTGACATGGCACAGCCCAAACCAAGGAGGAAGATGCATTCAATCTCTGGTATGTCTGAGCTTAGGAGTCCCTTGTCCCCTGCCCTCCAAACTACACTTTTTCTCCCTTATCCAGTGAACCTGAACAGTTTTTAGGTAAACCAATTATAATAATTTTCCCAGGCTTTCAAATACCACAGACACAGACTAAGAGTCTTAAAACAACTGAAATTAATTTTCTTACAGTTCTGGAGGCTGGAAGTCCAAGATCAAGATACCGGCAGGGTTGGTTTCTCCTGAGGCCTCTCTCCTTGGCTTGCAGGCAGCTGTCTTCTTGCTGCCTCTTCATATGGTTATTGCTCTATGTGCACATACCCCTAGTGTCTCATACTCTTCTTATAAGATCACTAGACATATTGGGTTAGGGCCCCACCCTAACCGGCCTCATTTTGACTTAATCACCTCTTTAAAAACCTTATTTCAAATACAGTTACATTCTGAGGTCCTGAGGATTGGGACTTCAACATGTGGATTTGGGGTGGGGGTTCAGAATGCAGCCCATGACACCAATCAGCTAAGCCTGGTCCTGCTTCAGCTCTGCAGGACCAGCATCAGAACACTGCAATAACCGCCATGATATAGAGATTCGTCTGTGACTCATTCCTGCAGATGTGAGTGTGTAGAACCAGGCACCGTCTCTGTGTGTGGGTGCATCGTCAGGGAAATGCAGTAGGAGAAAGACAAGACTATGTTCAAATGTCACAAGAAGTCAGCAGTGGCTATGAAAGTCTGAGTTAGCTTTCATGTGTCCTGTGATGATTTTCAGGTGACTTAAGCAGCCACCTTTCTTGAGAGAGAGAGTAGTGTAGGGGTCCAGTGAGTGAGAGAGTAGCTTGCAGACCAGTGAGCTCCAGAAGTCACCTGACAAAAATTGGTACCTTCCCTCTGGCCCTCTTCCTCCCAGGGGCTTTCTGAGCAAATTCCCTGATCGGTTAATAGATTCATTGGCATGATCCTCTCAGTGTCTTGCCAACAGTTATATGTAGATATATATTTAAAATCTGCCCTCAGCATTCATTGCTCCTGGAAGTTGGGAAACCAACCTTACATGGACTAGGAGAGGAGAATTTAGCCAGTTATTGCCTCATATTTTAACTGCTGCTCTTTCCCAGGAGGATATGATAGGCCATGCCAGTTCCCTCCCCCTCGTCCCTCCTATGGGAGATCTTGACCCTGGTAGGGACCTGCAGGCTGGCCTCTTGGCAAACCCTCTCACCCCCAATCTTGTCTCAGTGAAGACCATTTCTTTTCTGAAGCAAGCATCCTCAGCTGAGTTAAGAACCGGGTTTCTGGACCTGCCCTGAGAATGTCCAAACCAAAAGCTCGGTGTTCTTAGAAACTGCCATTCAGGGTAGTTCGGGTCACGCCATGTGGGAGCTGAAAGCAACCCTCCCAGCCCATCATTACCTGCCAGATCTCTGCTGCAGATGACTCAGGTCCTGGACTCAGCAAGGTGATGATGGAACAACAAAGGTGTTCCTACAGGCTAGGAGAGACTCCATTACCCTTTATAAGCCGGCCTGGGTTTTGATCTGAGATGAGAGAGAAGGTGATTGCTGCTGGGAGAGGAGATCCGAGATCCGTTCCATTGCACCAGTCCGGCTGTTCTGCGCTGAAAGACTGCCTTCTGGCAGCCTGCGTGCATCTATAGGTTCCTCCTTGGCTTAACAGGCAGGTTTCTACCAATGGAAAGGGTATCTTTGAGAGATTTATAGCAGTAATAATCATAACACTCTTCTTTTATGTTTGCTTAGCCTGACTCAACTTTTAAACCTCTTTTACACACCGGATCTCATTGGCTTCTCCCTGTAGCCCTGGACGGGCAGGGTATCGCCAACCTCAGAGCGTGGAAATTCTGGAAGGATTTTCAGGATTCAGACTCCAGCTCTTAGATGCCAGTGCTCCTTCTATTGATTTCAGCTGCCTAATGGCTATATTTAGATGCCAATAAGAAGGGCGGTTTGTCTGGGAATTGGAAAAAGAGGTCTTTTTCCTATTATTGTATTTGTTGTCAGTTATAAAGGCAACATCTGGTTCCTCGCTGTGTGCAGGGCCCTGCTCTAAGAGCTTTACTCTTAGTCTTTTCATCCACTGGTCAGCGGGCGGCTATTGTTAGCCTCATTTGTCCGTTGTCCCTGAGATCCTTACCAGGGAAGGTGAAGAAATGTAGGTCAAGTGCTACACCTGAATGGCAGGTGGCTTGGTAG